ATATAATATATATATATATATATATATATAATATATATATATATAGAGAGAGAAGAGAGAAGAGAGAGAGAGAAGAGAGAGAGAGAGAGAGAGAGAGAGAGGGAGAGAGAGAGAGAGAGAGATTGATAGATAGATAGATAGTGGAGAGAAAAAGAGAGAGAGAGAGAGAGAGAGAAAGAGAAAGAGAAAGAGAAAAGAGGAGAGAGAGAGAGAGAGGAGAGGAGAGAGAGAGAGAGAGAGAAGAGAGAGAGGAGAGAGAGAGAGAGAGAGAGAGAGAGAGAGAGAGAGAGACAGATAGTGAGAGAGAAAGAAAGAGAGAGAGAGAGAGAGAGGAGAGAGAGAGAGAGAGAGAGAGAGAGGAGAAGAGAGAGAGAGAGCGAGTGTGTTTGTTTGTTAGGACGTATCTTTGTTGCTTTTCATTTCCTTCTAACCTTTTATCTGTTTGTCTTACTTGCTTCGTTCTTCTTTATCTTATCTAGTCTTTCGTCTGTCTGTTATTAGGAGTCTTTCTTTCCTGTCTTTTCAATCCTCCAGTATTTTGTCTATCTATCTGTCTGTCAGAATGATTGTTTGTCATCTGTCTTTGACTTTTTTTTAATGTGTCTTTTATTCCTTTCCTCTCTATTTTCTCTCTTTGTTATCGTTTCCATTATTGCCTGTCTGTCTGTTTGTCGAATAATGGAGAGGAAAAGAGCATAATTATGTGTCTTAAATTTTTAAGTGTGCATATATTAATTGAGGAACACAAATACACGTTCATGTATACAAATATGTATATGTATAGATATTCATGTGTGGGGGTGAATCTGTTTCTGTACATGCGTATGTGTGTGTGTTTTAGAGGGGGTGAATGTGCGTCTGTATATGTGTGTGTTTATGTACGTGTATTTGTGTATATATGTATGTACGTTTATGTATACAAATATGTTATATGTATGTATATATATTCGTGTGTTTGGGTGCATCTGTGTCTATACATGCGTATGTGTGTGTGTGTGTGTGTGTTTTAGAGGGGATGAATGTGCGTCTGTGTATGCGTGTGTTTATGTACGTGTGTTTATCTGTTTATTTTTATTTATTTATTTATTTGTTTAATTAATTTATTTATTTATTCTATTTATTTATTTATTTATCTTTTATGAATGTGTATTTTCTGACCCTCGTGCGGCCTGCAGAGTGGAGCAACTTGCACGTGTACCGGAAGTGCCTCTACTGCAACGCCGGCGATGCTGACGTCAGACTTGTCCGCCGCTGGACGCCCGACCTCGGCCTCGGCGCCAAGGACGAGCTCTTTCCCGGTGAGGACGACCTTAGGTTTGATTTTTTTTTCCTTTTTTTTATTTTTATTTTTTGAAATTCTTTATTATCCTTCTTTAGTTTCTTTTATTTTCTCTATTGCTTTGTTTTTGCTTTCTTCAACACTTTTTTTTTCTTCTCATTAAAAAAATAAAATAAAATAAAAAATAAATAGTATTTACATATTTACACACACACACACACNAAAATAAAATAAAAAATAAATAGTATTTACAATTTACACACACACACAACACACACACACACACACACACACACAGACACACACACCCACCACACACAGCACATATATATATATATATATAATATATATACATATATATAGATATTAATATATATATACACACACATATATATATATAGTATATATTTATATATATATATATAAATAATACATATACATAATATATAAATAAATATATATGTATATATATATATATATTATATATATATATATATATATATAACTATATATATATATGTTTTGTATATTTATATATATATATGTATATATATATTATATATAGTATATATATATATAGTATATATATAATATATATAGACATATATACTATATTGGCGAATCGGCTTTTGAATTATCAAATCGATTCTAATCCTGTGGAATGAAGAACACCTTTCATAGGCCTATCATACATACACATACAGACAAATTCAAATCCTATTACCTTTGAACACAGCACAAACATAATCACGTGAAGCACAAAAAATAAAAAAATGAAACTAGCACACTATGCTCATTGTGGCTAGTTTCATCCCCATTACCTTTGTTTACATTCCCTCCAACAGACGAATTCGGAGACTTTAACGGCCACAAGTTCACGGTGGTCGCTAAGCGGTACTTCCCTTATATGGACGCGAGTCTCGAGACGAATGAACCCGGTTCGAGACTCACTGTGTTGGATTCGCTCGACACTCGGATCTTCCTCGCCCTGGCTCGCTATCTGAACTTCACGTGGGTGCGATCAATTTTTTCTTTCTTTCTTTCTTTAAGGGGGTGGGGTAGTTTGCGAGTAGAGACGGGTTGTATACTCATATCTGCGCGTGTGCAAATTGCCAAATCTGGATATAGAGAACCACGTTTTGAGTTTTGCGGGATCATGTGCTTGTGTTTACTTTCGGTTTTCGCTCTTGTGTATTTGTCTTCCATGGATGGCGGAGCGAG